AACAACTTAAAATATAAAACTTAAAGCTTTCAATTAAATTTTAGTTTAGTTTTTTGGAAATTTTGGTAAGCGCTTTTGGCATTTTTATTAGTTTTAGGTTTTTGTTATTGTAGCATTATTTATATACTATTGTATTACTATATAATTATATGATATAATATTACAGTTTTTGTTAATAATTTGAATTAGCTTTTATTTGTATATTTTCAGATTTAAGTTAAATTTGACAATTTTATTATATGACAGTTTTGTTATTGTATTATTATTTATTTGCTATTATAATTTTTATTAATAGTTTGAATTCGTTTTTTGTTTTATATTTTCAATTTAAATATCATTTTAGTTCAATATAATTTTACTGTTCTATTTTTTCATTAATATTTTTTGAATTAGCTTTTATTATATTTTCAGTTTTCAATTTCATTAGTTTAATATTTAAAAAATTGTATGTGCTTTTGACATTTTTATTAGTGTTAGGTTTTTGTTATTGTGGTGGTATTTATATATTATATATTTTTATTAATATTTTGAATTAGGTATTATTTTTATATTTTTTCGTTTTTAAGTTCATTTTAGTTTAATTTTTAAAAATGTTATGTGTTCGTACATTTTTATTAGTTTTAGAATTTCATTTTAGTTTGGCTTTAAGAAATTTGTACATGTGACGTTTTTATTAGTTTTAGGTTTTTGTTATTGTAGTATTATTTATATACTACTATAGTTTTTATTAATATTTTGAAATAGCATTTATATTTATAATTTCATTTGTCAATTTTATTTTCATTTTTAGAAATATTGTTAATTTTTTTTCATCATTTATCATATTTATTCATATATTTATTTATGATTTTTATTTCAGTTTTTTATTTTAATTAATTAATTAATTAAACTTATTTCAGTCAGTTCCCAAGTCAACATTTCTAATTGTTCTAAGTTTTTCATTCTAATATTTATATTTTGATTGCAGTTAACAGGAATGTTTTTCATAGTGCTAGGTTCGGTTAATGTTCATGTTGATGTAGGTACTGTGGTTTAATAACATCCATGTTATTATTAGTGAGCTCAGACCGAACTATCAAAGCATGTGTGAAAACAGTGTAAATGAAGAGAGAGAGACTCATAAATGAATCTTCCAGATGAAATCCAGCACATAAAAAGCTGCCGTGTGTGTATTTGTGTTTAATGATCCTGCGACTGTTATGACTGTGACTTTATTAGAGTTTAATGTGTTTTTCTGTCGTGGCGCTTGTCTGTGTTTCTCATCTGGCAGTTGAACTTTCCGCAGTGACTGAACGAGTTTGATCTGCGCACGCACGCACGCACGCACGCACACACACACACACACACACTGCTAACTCACTGTTCTGAGACTAACTCAAGCACCTTACCAGTCAGGTGCTCATCACTATGTTTGTGATTAGGTTATATACATTTATTTATTTGCTTGTATTAGGGCACGATTAATCAAAATAAAACCAAAATCCTTAAAATGAAATTAAATTAAATACTCTTATTATTATTATTATTATTATTATTATTATTATTATTATTATTAAATATTATTACTTTTGTTTTATTTTACAGTACAATAATACTATAATGTAATTTCTTTATTAAATTAATTTTTACACTTTTATAATATAATTTAATTATAATAATAACAACTACAACAATAATAATAATAAACTAGAGTCTAGTGTAAGGATTTCCAAATGTACTCATGCTAAAATCAACAGTAAATCCACATTTAAAGCTGATATTTTAAACGTTTTAACGCACGCACGCACGCACACACACACACACACACACTGCTAACTCACTGTTCTGAGACTAACTCAAGCACCTTACCAGTCAGGTGCTCATCACTATGTTTGTGATTAGGTTATATACATTTATTTATTTGCTTGTATTAGGGCACGATTAATCAAAATAAAACCAAAATCCTTAAAATGAAATTAAATTAAATACTCTTATTATTATTATTATTATTATTATTATTATTATTATTATTATTATTATTATTATTATTATTATTATTATTATTATTATTATTATTATTATTATTATTATTATTATTATTATTATTATTATTATTATTATTATTATTATTATTATTATTATTATTATTATTATTATTATTATTATTATTATTATTATTATTATTATTATTATTATTATTATTATTATTATTATTAAATATTATTACTTTTGTTTTATTTTACAGTACAATAATACTATAATGTAATTTCTTTATTAAATTAATTTTTACACTTTTATAATATAATTTAATTATAATAATAACAACTACAACAATAATAATAATAAACTAGAGTCTAGTGTAAGGATTTCCAAATGTACTCATGCTAAAATCAACAGTAAATCCACATTTAAAGCTGATATTTTAAACGTTTTATAGCTGATATATTTTTCTAAAATACTTTACTTTTTACAGTGAAATACTGCAATAGCAATATTTCTTATAAAAAAAATGTATTATATAAATAGGGTATTATTTAAATAAAATAAGTAAATAATAATATATTATTATTATTTTATCAATCACAATATATAATCACAAAATTTTGGCCAAATTTTGCAGCCCTACAAACAAGCATAGCAAACTTGGAATTTATTATCGCATTTTAGATCGCAATTTTTACCAGAAAATGTTACAGCAATTTGATTCCCAAATCATGCAGCCCCAGCTCGTATTATTTATTAGTTTTTGTCTGTTTCCCAGGAAACAAAGGAGCAGTGGGCGTGTCCTTCATGTTCAACGGAACGTCGTTTGGTTTCGTTAACTGTCACTTAACGTCTGGCAATGAGAAAATCCACAGGTGTGTCTGGAGTAATAAACACACAGCTCACGGTTTGTTTGGCAGCCGTTCTTCAGTGAATGTGTGATGCACTAATGACCTCTGACCCCCGGCAGACGGAACCAGAACTATCTGGACATCCTGCGTCAGCTGTCGCTGGGCGATAAACAGCTGAACTCCTTCGACATCTCGCTGAGATTCACGCATCTCTTCTGGTTCGGCGATCTCAACTACCGGCTGGACATGGACATACAGGTGAACTGCCACGAGACAAGCGTGAAAATGACATACTGTGCCTTTAACATGATTCATGTGTGTCTGTGGTAGATATGGTGAAGGTTATTTGTTATTTTAATATTTTATATTTTTTCTTATTCTCTTTTTCACTTTGGAAAACAAAGTTGTTTTTAAACGTGCTATAGAAAGAAAGAATCTTCCTACCTTATTTGTAATTGAAATTCATTCCCTTATCCATCATCATAACGTTTACAATAGCTACGTTTTAGCTCATGTTGCCAGATTATGCCTGTACTTTTTGTTGTCAAAAATATAGGAGAATATGTTTAAAAAAATTTTTTTTTTTTTAAGAAAAACATGAAATTTTTTATTTATTTAATATTTTTATTTTATTTTATTGATTGCATTGATTAGTTTGGCATCAATAGGGGTTATGCGCAACAGACTTCCGTATTCTGTTAACCGGGTCTCGTCGCTTCCGGTTCAAGCGTTTTGCATATGCTTCGTTAAATATGAAGCAGTAATATACTCAAGATTTAAAGAAGTAATGTCCATCACATATGCGCATTGATATCTAAAAGTTTTTATTTTTATTCTTTTCACTAACATTTATATAAAAAATTGAATAAAACGGCAACAATAAAAACAGCTAGCTAGTTTAACTGATTATCGTAAAAGTCCATAGATATCGCTATTATTTATTACAGCTATTCGCACGTTCTCCGACAAGCGGTAGCGATGAGACCTGTTTTCCGGGTTTGGTCAGGTGACGTTCAACATATACTCTATTCCAAGTGGACTGAATCAGAATCGCATACTACCATATTACCATACTTGCATACTGTATTGTAGTGTTTCTGCAGCATGCGTACTGTATGCAGCGTATGAATTTTTCTGAATGCATGATCTGTTCCATTTGTCTCTAGTGTGTACTGCGCAGTGAACAGTACTCTAGTGTGCTCAGTAGTGACCGGTGTGACCCGCACAGCTGTGAGTCTGAACTCTCTCTCTCTCATAGGAAATCCTCAACTACATCAACAGGAAGGAGTTTGAGCCATTGTTGAAGGTGGACCAGCTAAATCTGGAGAGAGAGAAGAACAAGGTCTTCCTTCGCTTCAGTACGCTTATACTATTTGTTTTAAATGTAGTTTTTCTCTTGGTTATTTAAATGTGCTTTGAGATCAGCATTTCCTTTCCCT